GCACATTTCGTTATTTGCGTGGAAGACTAGCACATTTCAGATTTTTGCGTGGAAGACTAGCACATTTCAGATTTTCGCTTGGAAGAGTAGCATATTTCAGATTGTTAAGCCGCGAAAACTGCACGTCTCCGGTTTAAAGTAAATCATAAAAGCATAATATATATTGAAAATTCAAACGTTTATTCTATATTTCTTTAATTGTATTATGAAAATCATGAAATTCAGACGGTATATACCGTTTACTAATCATTTGTTGAATATCATCCACTTTTCTTTTTTTTAAAGGTATTTTTCCCTTGTAAGCTTTAGGCAATTCACAGTGTTTCATGGTTGACCATTGAACATTTTTTTTCATTAGGTTCAACTTCTCCTCGCTTTGCATAAAGTCGTATTTTACTGCCATGTCTACTTGATTTTTGCTATTTTTTATTGTAATTTTCCGTACATGTGATATCTTAATTTTTTTGCCAATGAAAATATTTGGACAGTTCTTCGAAGGAAAATATTTCATTTGCGTTTGCGTTGTTGAAAATTTGTTGAGTTTTTTTAGTATTCTCCTGGGCTTTAAACTTGGGCCAATATGGATTTTTTTAAGAGAATTGACTTTATTTTAATTGAAGGTTTTTTAAGTAAATAAATAAACATAACATAAATAATATCACTTTGAAACGGGGTGCTCTTGATATGATACTGTATGTATATGTTTTTTCGTATTTATTTATAAATAAAGATTCCCTGAGAAAGACGCGAATGTCGAAAGGTGTAGGAGGAAAAATAAACGTTTATTTTACTTGTAATAACCGGCCAAAAGGCTCCATATACAACACTAAACTTTCAGCATGACCGAAGAAAAATAATTATAGTATAAACATACATATTTATGTAACTTTTTTTTTAACGGCTGCTACAACCTTAAATGAACTGCCTTGCGTATCCCTCTTCCACACAAAAATCTGAAATGTGCTAGTCTTCCAGGCAAATAACGAAATGTGCTACTCTTCCACGCAAAAATCTGAAATGTGCTAGTCTTCCACGCAAATAACGAAATGTGCTAGTCTTCCACGCAAAAATCTGAAATGTGCTAGTCTTCCACGCAACAAAAATCTGAAATGTGCTAGTCTTCCACGCAAATAACGAAATGTGCTAGTCTTCCACGCAAAAATCTGAAATGTGCTAGTCTTCCACGCGATTAGTGAAATGTGCTAGTCTTCCACGCAAATAACGAAATGTGCTACTCTTCCACGCAAAAATCTGAAATGTGCTAGTCTTCCACGCAAAAATCTGAAATGTATTAGTCTTCCACGCAAATAACGAAATGTGCTACTCTTCCACGCAAAAA